GACCAACGGTAATCTACATGCTTAAAGGGAAAGGAGATGCTGTAAAACCCTAAGGTCTTTAAGCTCTTAACGTTAACTTGCTATTGGAATTTGTTAGGAAAAACTAACTTGATTGAATTTTAGTTTTCTAATTAGCAATGCACTTATGTCTCAAACTGGTATAAATAATTTTTTTTTGGGTATAAGATGATAGATAGATAGTTAACATCGTGCTGTTTCTCATAATGAGCTGCAAACATTTTTTTTATATTATACTTCCTGTTGTCTTGCAACTTTTCGTAATGTAAAATATTATGTTTATTTGGTATTAAAAGTGTAAAATATTTTAATACTTATAATTTTAGTTTTCGTATGAGTCAGTTTTTAAAAAAATATTTTAATACTTATAATGTTCTTCACGTCTGTATAATGTCTATATAATCTCTTGCTCTTGGTGGAATATTTGTGTCATATTTATTGTATCATGTCTATATAAATATATGTGTTTATATTTGTTTGTATTTTTATGCGTTTATTAGTACTTGCTATTTTTATTAATTAGAATCTACTCAGATTTTTAGTATGATTGTTATATATATATATATATATATATATATATTTATAGTGGTTCAATATCTTTTCATTTTTTTTAAATGAAAGAAAAAAATTTCTCCTACCAACTCTTTGATTAATTTAAGCTTCACGATATAAAAATATATGGATCACATGAGGATCAAATAGTGTAAACTCAAACTCATCCTCAATCAAAATACTCTAGTTTGTATTAGAACACCAACCTGATAAAAAAAAACTAGCCCCTTGCTTCGGTTGATAATCACTCCCAACTCCTACCTAACTTTAAAGTTTAATCCAATCAATTATCCCCAATAAAATTACACACTTTGTTTGTTTTGTATTCTATTTCTAAAATTTTATGTAGTTATTATAATAATGAAAATAATGTACTTATTAATTTTACAAGTTTATACACAAGATGAAGAGTGAAATGGTAAAAAAAAGTTAAGAGAAAAGAAAAAGAATTGGAAGCAGATCTCCAAATAAGGAAACCAACATGATCATATTTTCTCTTTAACTATAACATTGTAAATGTTAATATATTTGTCATCCTAATAAACCTATATTGTTCCATTTCTTACACAGGGTATTAAACTTGCTCTATTTTGATATTGAAGATCAATGCTTAGTTATATATTTTTTTTTAAAAATTCATTTGGTTCTAATTATACCCTTGATTTTTGGTTGGCAGCTCTATTCTATTGTTTGACTTATATTGTTGCATTTCTGGTACACTGCTGGTTCCATTGGTTCTTAGAGGTAACTTTTTGTTGGTTCCATTATTTCTTATTCAAAATGCTTGATTATTATTTTTTCACATGGTAGTAGCTGTAACATAAAAGCTAGCATTGAATCTTAGGTTATGCTTCTTTTTCCACTCGTTATTATTTTTGGTTTGAATAATTATTATATTTTTTATATAATTTATATTATAATTTTGTAGAGGTTTTGCTTTATTTTATGCATACTATCCTATTTTATATTAGCATAGCAAGCCTTTTCAAGTGGAAATTACTAAACCCCCTTATACTTGTCTCACAAAACAAATTTTTCACAAAAGCAAGTCAAGTAGTTGTGTGTGTGTGCACGCAACCCCTATTAGGCAAATGAAGCCTTCTAAATGAGCTTAGAATTAAAACAAGTTAAAGGAAAGCAAGTAAAGCATACACTAGTCGTATGGTCCTAGGGTGGAAGTCCAAGTGACACTTAGAATCCCTTGGAACACTTCCACAAGTACTAAACGGTTTATGAAAGCAAGTAAACTAGACGTCTCCTAGTGGAAGCCCAATTGACACTTGAAGTCTTTTGGGGACCCTTCCACAAGTACTAAACAGGAAATGATGATGAATGATGCATTTGAACAATACAGGCAACATGCCTCAAATATAGGTGCATCACGACCATTAAATGAAAATGAAATATTAAATGATGAGTCAAGGGGGGATTATAATGGCTTTTATGAGCTTCTAAATGATGGGAGTCAAACATTGTATGAAGGAAGCAAATACACAAAATTGGAATTTATAATCAAATTATATCATATAAAAGTTTTGTGTGGATTAAGTGACAAGGCAATGACTATGATATTAGATTTGTTGAAAAACGCATTTGAAAAAGCAAAGTTTCCTCCTTCTGTTTATGAGGCCAAGAAAATAATTAAGAAGCTTGGTCTTAACTATAAAAAAATTGATGCTTGTCCAAAACATTGCATGTTGTATTTGGGAGATGATGAAAAAAGTTTGGATGCTTGTAAGCATTGTGGTACATCTAGATGGAAACCCAAGAAGAAGAAAAAATTAGCTGCAAAGGTTTTACGTTACTTTCCATTGAAACCAAGATTGCAAAGATTATTCACATGTTGTAAGACTGCAAAAGATATGAGATGGCATGTTTTGGAAAACAATAAAGATGGGTTGATGAGGCATCCAAGAGATGGAGAGGCATGAAAGACTTTTGATTTAATACATCCTAAGTTTTTTTCAGATCCTCGGAATGTTCACTTAGGCCTTGCTACTGATGGATTTAATCCTGCTAGGACCTTGAGTTCTTCCTATAGCATTTGGCCAGTCGTGTCCAAAATGTGGGTTTATGAAATGGCAAACTAGAGACATAGTTGAGGATCACTTACTTTATAAACCATTTCCTCAAAACTATGTTATATGGGATCTCCATGGTGAAAAGGAAGCATTGGAATCTTCTCAAATCGAAGATGTTTTCCAAGATAGTGGTGTTCAACCTCAAAATCCAATGGAAATGATGATGAATGATGCATTTGAACAATACAGGCAACATGCCTCAAATATAGGTGCATCACGACCATTAAATGAAAATGAAATATTAAATGATGAGTCAAGGGGGGATTATAATGGCTTTTATGAGCTTCTAAATGATGGGAGTCAAACATTGTATGAAGGAAGCAAATACACAAAATTGGAATTTATAATCAAATTATATCATATAAAAGTTTTGTGTGGATTAAGTGACAAGGCAATGACTATGATATTAGATTTGTTGAAAAACGCATTTGAAAAAGCAAAGTTTCCTCCTTCTGTTTATGAGGCCAAGAAAATAATTAAGAAGCTTGGTCTTAACTATAAAAAAATTGATGCTTGTCCAAAACATTGCATGTTGTATTTGGGAGATGATGAAAAAAGTTTGGATGCTTGTAAGCATTGTGGTACATCTAGATGGAAACCCAAGAAGAAGAAAAAATTAGCTGCAAAGGTTTTACGTTACTTTCCATTGAAACCAAGATTGCAAAGATTATTCACATGTTGTAAGACTGCAAAAGATATGAGATGGCATGTTTTGGAAAACAATAAAGATGGGTTGATGAGGCATCCAAGAGATGGAGAGGCATGAAAGACTTTTGATTTAATACATCCTAAGTTTTTTTCAGATCCTCGGAATGTTCACTTAGGCCTTGCTACTGATGGATTTAATCCTGCTAGGACCTTGAGTTCTTCCTATAGCATTTGGCCAGTGTTCTTAATTCCATATAATCTTCCACCTTGGATATGTATGAGTCACACTTCATTCATCCTATCAATGATCATTCCGGGAAAGCAAGGTCCTGGAAATAACATAGATGTGTACCTACAGCCTCTTGTAGAGGAGTTATGTGAGTTATGGAATGGTGTGGATACCTACGACTCATCATTGAATGAAAATTTTAGAATGCGAGCAGCTCTTATGTGGACAATTAGTGACTTTCCTGGCTTAGGCATGTTATCTGGTTGGAACACACACACAGGATTGGCTTGCCCGACTTGCAATTTTGATGCGAAACCTTGTCGCCATAAAAATTGTAAAAAATGGTGTTTTATAGGTCACTGTCATTTTCTAAGCAGAAATCATAAATTTAGATTGAATCGTGTTCGTTTTAATGGAAACACAGAAGAACGAAACCCACCATTAAAATTATCTTTATCTGACATTTTTCGACAAGTGGAACATATTAATATTACATTTGGAAGTGGAGCCATTCAAAATGGAACAATAAAAAGATCTAGACAAGAACCCGCACAGTGGAATAAAAAAAGCATATTCTTTGAACTTCCATATTGGGAGTCCAATTTGTTGCGACATAATCTAGATTTTATGCATATTGATAAAAATGTATGTGACAATGTGATGTATACATTGCTCCATGAGAAGGATAAATCAAAAGACAACCTTAATGCTTGAAAAGATTTAAAAGAAATGGGCTTAAGGCATGATCTTTGGCCAGATGATAATGGAAGATATCACCTTGCTTTGTTTTCGCTGACCCGCGATACCAAAAAGTTATTTTTGGAAACTTTGAAGACTATTACAGTACCAGATGGTTACTCAAGTAACATTTCCAGATGTATTGATGAGAAACTTAACAAAATATATGGGTTGAAAAGTCACGATTGCCATATTATTATGGAACAATTGCTACCACTAGCAATTCGTAACTTGTTGCCAGACCATGTGACTTCTATCTTAGTGGAGTTTTGTTCTTCTTTTAGAATGCTTTGTGGTAAAGGCTTAAATCTTCCAGAAATTCAATTGCTCCAAGATCACATTGTGGTTACACTATGCCAGTTAGAAATGTTATTCCCTCCGTCATTTCTCACAGTTATGGTTCATTTAACTGTTCATCTCGTAGAGGAAGCAAAACTTGGAAGCCCAGTGCATTATCGATATATGTATCCAGTGGAGAGGTAAACATTTTAATAACTTAAATTTATGATGTCATATTACTAATATCTTACTAGTGCTCTCTAATTGTTAATCATTTATGTAGGGAATTAGGTCACTTAAAATCTTTTGTGCGAAATAAGGCACAACCTGAAGGATCCATAACTGAGGGGTATTTAGCTGAAGAGTTTCTTACCTTTTGTTCTCAGTACATTGAAGATATTGAGACAAGGTTCAATAAACCTAAATGTGTTTGTGATGATCGAATTGATAATGAGACTTCTTTTATGTCTTCTATCTTCCCACAAATTGGTAAACCAGTAGGAGCTTGCTCAATGTTCACTTTAACTCCAATGCAAAAATTGCAAGCTCATCGGTATGTGCTCCTCAATTGCACAATAGTCACACCATTTGTAGAGTGAGTAAAATGAGATAAACTTATTATTATTAGTCTACTTAAAATATTATAGCCATGTGCATTGATTATAATAATTATTTATGTAGTGAATTTAGACAATTCATAAAAAGGAGTTCAAGAGGAAGAAGACCTTCGTCTACGGAGATAGAGAAGAAAGTCAATAAAGAGTTTGTTGATTGGTTTAGAAAGCGGGTGAGTAGTCATTTAGTGGTTAGATATCTTTTTTTACCATATTTTTTTTTAAACTTTGACTTCCAATTTTTCTAGATTATGAATCCAGACACAATAAGTGAAATGTCTACTGATCTAAAGTTTCTAGCACGAGGACCTTTGGATAATGCAAGAAGATTTACTGCATATAA